GGGGGGGGGGGCGGAGGGAAGAAGCGCCATGCGCCGAGGACCGCAGCCCACGTACTGAGAATGCGTCCGATCAGCGAGAAGCCAGCCAGCTTCAGGTGCTTGGCACGGTCCAACAGATAGGGCAAGTCGAAATTGACAATATTGTAGCCCGTCAAAATGTCGGGGTCCGTCTGGGAGCAGCGGTTGACGGTGAGACAGCAGCAGGCGGGGGGGGGGGGGGGGGGGGGGGGATGCGCATGCATGCGGCCGGATCAGTGACGCACAGAGATGATCAGGTCGCGGAAAGCCATCAGCAGCTCGCGCTCCGTCTCGAAGGAGAAGACGTGCGCGCCACCGATCGGTGCGCACGAGCCCAGTGTCAGGACGCAGCGCATCAGCGACCGAGGCATGCCTGGAGGGGGTGAACACCAGCAGCGGAGTCAGTGGCGGCCGCGCCTAGCGGGGCGGGGGAGCCCGAGCAGGAGGAGGGAGGAAAGAAGCAGTGAAGATGCTCCGCACCGACGACATTGACAACACAGCCGATCTGAATCACCGGGTCGTGATCGGGCTCGGGGAAAATGCCCTTACGCCCGGCGCACTCGATATCTGTCAGGGGATGGAGGTAGGTGAGTGAGGGAATGGGTGGGCGGGAAGATGTGAGAAGGGTTGTGTGGGGGGGGGGGGGGGGCGGGGGGGGGGGGGACGTCGCGCACCGAAGGAAAGAGTACGCAGGGGAGCGATCGAGGACCACCGCGGGTCGGACTCGGGCTGGTGAGCGATGACATCGTTCCATCTGGCGGGGGGAGCGCAAAGGGGGCAGAGGAGGATCAGTAAAAACATGCCAGCCAGGATGACAGGCTGGCAGGGGGGAAGAGCAGGCACATACGAGATATCAGCCTCAATCTGGGAGGTGGACACGCGCTCGTGCGGCGGCCGGAGGTAGTACTTGCCCGGGGGCAGTTCGATCCAGCTCGAGCCGCCGATCTGAGGAGCCGAAAGGAGGAGGGGGAACAGCCAATGGAGTTGGCCAATGTCAGCGACTGGCACCGGCGGCAGGGGGGCCCCACGGCGGCGCGGGACATTCGGAGCGGCACGTACACCCTTGTCGATCATATAGCGCAGGACATACTCGATGTTGGCCTCAAACACGCCAGGGAACTCGAGGAAGGGTCCGGTTGCTCCGAGGGAGACCCCATTCTCCAAGGCGCCTGCAGAGGCCGGGAGCGACCCGGTGCCAGGGGGTGGCAGAGGGTGTGAGAATGGGCCCGAGTCAACGCGGGGGAGGAAGGGGGAGGGGGGGCGAAGAAAATACCGGCACCAATCGGCCGACAGGAGGAAGGACGCACGACGGAGGGGCGAGATGAAGCGCGGATGGCTGACTGAGATCTTGAGGAAGTCGGCCAGAACGCCGCCCTGGTAGCCGAAGATCCTGCATCGAGGAAGGCCGGAGAGAGGGAGAGGGGGAGGCGTCAGAGTCCGGCATGTGGAACCGTGGCTGGGCCCGGACGGCGGCCGGAGGGGGCACGGGGGAGAGGCAGAGAGGGGGGGGGGGGGGGGGG